GAGTTGGATCAAGCACTCACTCGACCATTACGCCTACGGGCTACATTATTTCGAGTTCGAAACATTCACTCGACTATTAAGCCTACGGGCTACCTTCATTTTGAGTTCGAGCAAGTACTCACTCGACCATTACGCCTACGTGCTACATTATTCAGAGTTCGAAACATTCACTCGACTAATAAGCCTACAGACTATTTTTATTTTGAGTTTGACCAAGCACTCGCTCGACCATTATCCCTATGGGCTATATTATTTCGAGTTCAAAACATTCACTCGAATATTAAGCCTACGGGCTACTTTCATTTCGAGTTCGAGCAAGCACTCACTCAACCATTACGCCTACGGGCTACATTATTTCGAGTTTGAAATATTCACTAGACTATTAAGCCTACGGGCTACTTTCATTTCGAGTTCGAGCAAGCACTCACTCAACCATTACGCCTACGGGCTACATTATTTCGAGTTTGAAATATTCACTAGACTATTAAGCCTACGGGCTACTTTCATTTCGAGTTCGAGCAAGCACTCACTCGACCATTACACCTACGAGCTATATTATTCCGAGTTCAAAACATTCACTCGACTAATAAGCCTACGGGCCACTTTCATTTCGAGTTAGAGCAAGCACTCACTCGACCATTATGCCTACGAGCCACAATACTTCGAGTTCGAAACATTCACTCGGCAAATAAGCCTACGGTCTACTTTTATTCCGAGTTCGAACAAGCACTCACTCGACCATTACACCTACTGGCTACATTATTTCGAGTTCGAAACATTCACTCAACTATTAAGCTTACGGGCTACTCTTATTCCGATTTCGAGCAAGCACTCACTCGACTATTACGCCTACAGGCTTCATCACTTCGAGTTTGAAACATTCACTCGGCTAATAAAGCCTACGGGCAACTTTTATCCCAAGTTCGAGCAAGCACTCACTCGACCATTATGCCTACGGGCTATATCGCTTCGAGTTCAAAACATTCACTCAACGGCTAATAAGCCTACGGGCTACTTTTACTTTAAGTTTGAGCAAACACTCACTCAACCATTACACCTACGGGCTATTTTGCTTCAAAGTTTGAATCGTTGACTCAACTAGCAAGCCTAAGGGTTACATCACTTCAAGTCTGAAAAAACAATCGATCGATCATAGAGACTACGAAGTCAACATTTGATTAAAGTCTTCAAAAAACAAAAACAAGTCGACTTTGTTATATATATACAAGATTGCCTACGTGATTGATTACAAAAGTAAAAAATTAAAAACTAAGCTTCTTGGTCACCCTCTGGGGCGTTCGCTCAACTGTCGAGCCCTTCCCCATCCTCGGATCCGCTCTGGCTGCCACCATCATCATCATTATCAGAAGCCAAGGCTTCAGCTTTAGCTTCGAGCTCTTTAGCCTTTTTTATCTCTTCATTAAGATCGAAACCTAGAGCGTGTATCTCCTCGAGGGTCTCCCTCCGAGACCTACACTTAGCAAGCTCGACAACCCAATGAGCTCGAGCGTCGCTAGTATCCGCCGCCTCCCGCGCCTCCATCTGAGCAGCCTCGGTATCAGTCCGATACACAATAATGGACTTATCCGCCGAGACTTTCGACGACTCAACCTCCACCTTAGCCTCAGCAAGCCGTGTTTCAAGCTCCTGGATCTTCTTAGCTTGATCCGACCCCTTTTGCTTGACGCTTCGAAGTTGAACATCGACCGATAATAATTTGGTCAAAATGGTTTCTTTTTCCGTAGCCAGGCGGTCGAGAGTCTCCTTCCACCGATTGCATTCAGCTTGGATTTGATCAACTTCTTCTCGAAGTAACAAGATCTTTTCAACCTTTTGTTGCAGCTGAGACAACGAAGGGTTAGCTTCCATAGTTGAGTCAAACCCATACTTTAACAGAACGAGGCTCACCTGTTTATTAAGTTTGACCTCCTCTTCACGAACCTTAGCCAAATCCGCTTGGAGGTCCTTTATAGCCTCATCCTTTTGGCTGCAAAGAAGCTGCAGGGCGTCTCTCTCACCCGAGACCTTCCGGAGCTCGGCTTCACACTGGCTAAGATCGACTCGAAACCTACTAATGGCCTGCACAGTAAGGAAAAAATACAAGTCAAGTATGGAAAAGAACAAAGAAACCAAGTGTAGAAGAATCATTACCCGAGTAATGAAACGTTGATCCTCCTCTAGTAGAAGAGAAGCATCACCAATATCGGAAGCATCATCGACTCCAGTAAAGCAATCCCTAAAAGGGTCCCCTACACTAGAGCCTCCGCCAATATCGGGAGTCTTCAATTCTCGAGCTTCCTTTAACGCCTCCTTAGAAAAAGTTGGAAGAGCAGGCGAATGATCCATTGTCATAGCCCCGAGAAAATCACTCGGGGTACTCCGATCAAGACTTGGGACTTCAGGACCGACCCCGACCGGTACGGCCGCCATCGGCTTGGGAGCTCTTGAAACCTCGATAGCTTTCGCATATCAGATGACCATAGCCGAGGCGTTATCTTCTTCTTCTTCTTCTCTCAGTCTTTGGACCGAGTCAATCGGAAGGGTAAATTCTTTTCTCCTCCCCCTCCGAGTTTTGGGCTTGGGGTCCTCTGACCGAGAGGAAGCTCTTCGCTTCTTATCTTTCCCTGGTAGCGGGACCGGGGACTTAGTTCCTTCTTCATCGCTCGAAGGCCTCAAAGCAGCATCCTTGGTTATACCTGCATGAAAGGAAATCAGTAACGAATAGAACACAGAGAATACTTCGAAGGAAACAAGAAGCAAAACCTTACCATGGTTCTTGGCCTCCCATCTACCTTTAGCCAAATCACGCCAAGCGTGTTCGGCATAAGAGGAAGTCGAGGCTAATTTCTGAACCCAATCCTCGAGGTCATGTACCGCTTGTGGCATCCAAGGGGCAGCTGAATATCAGTGAAAGACATCATAAATAATCGGGAAAAGACACGAAAAGCAAACAAAAATCTCTTACAGTCGAAATTCCATTCTTCAGGGAACGACATCTTATCTTCCGGAATAAGGTCACGGGTCCTCACTAGAATATAACGATCCATCCAACCCCGATCCTTGTCTTCGTCGATGCTTGACATCAAAGCCTTCGATGCCCGATGAGTCTTCGAAAGATCTGAGGCCGATACAATCGTATGAGGTGACTCAGAGGAAAATCCAGCCCCTCGGCTTTGATAGAGAAGAAGCGAAGTAAGATCACTATACGCCATAAAGAGGGATGAATTTGACCGAGGGTGACCTGATACCTTTTGCAAAAATCAATTATCACCGGGTCGACGGGTCCTAACGTGAAGGGATAAGTGTAAACACTTAAAAACTCCTCCACATGAGTGCTGACGCTCTCATCGGGGGATGGAATTTGCAGCACAACCTCAGGACCCCAGTTGTAGTCTTTTCTGATGACCTCGAGGTGACCCTCTGTTATAGAGCACATATACATCGACACATGCTCGCATCGACCCAAAACGGAAGAAGGATTCTCTACCTTAAAATCGATCTTCAGAGTGCATGAGCTGGGAACATAGTCGTGAATGGACGGCTCCACCGGTACCTTATCATCGGACGGCCGTGAAGAAGAAGCTTTCTCCTTCTGAGGTACGGTTTTCGAAGTTTTCTCCATTGATACAAGAAGAAGGAAAGTGAAAGGTTGACGGTACCAAATACTCTGGTGTGGATGGCTCTAAAGCAACGAAATAGAGAGGAAAAATAAGAGAACTTGGAAGGGAGAAGGCGCAAAAGTGGTAATAGTTGTATGGAAAGGTTATTTATAGGTTCGCGTCATGACGGTTCAATATCGGAGGTGGCCGACCACCATCTGACAAGCATTAAATGCCTTGAAAGACTAAATCAATGGGACAGCTATCGCATACGTCATAATCGACCTCTGATAAAACATCAGCTTGTTGCCCGATCGAACCGTCGAAGATCATATCGATTCTCACCACATCCCTCATGAGAATCGAGGGGACTATTTATATACGGTCAAAATAGATTTAGGCTTTCCTACGTTCGATCGAGTTCGAATGGCAAGAAGCTGGAGTAGAATTTCGAGGGAGTTTCGAAGGTAGTACGAACAAGCCTCGAGCCCGTAACTAAATCGATCCGCAAGGCGTCGCTTCAAGGTCGAAAATGCACCACGCCCATCCCGAAGGTCGAATTCAAGGTAAGACCGAAGGGCCAACCCCAGTTACGAACTCAAGACAGTATCGAGGTCGAGCCAGTATCGAACTCACAGACAAGAGCCGTTACAATTGCACCAAGGGTGAGCATCTTGAGGAAAACGTGGAAGATACACTATATCATGGGTCCTCCACTATATCATGGGTCCTCCACTATATGCATTATTTTATTATTTTGTTATAAAATAAAGCAATAGCCCTCTATTATGAAAGGGAGGATTCTTGTAAGCTGAAGGGCAGAATACAAAAACGGGAATAAATAGATCTTTTTCTCATATACAAAGGGATGACCTTGTGCTTGTTTTATTTTATCTTATTCAATTTCCTTGTTCATCATTCCTATCCTTATAGCTAAAATACCTGTATTATTATTTTCGTATCAATGGAATTTACGTATCCTTAGAACCATACATAAATTTAACGTTATCCAATTTTTTCGTGTAAACAAATATGTTTTACGTTTGAGAGAAAAATGTTTTTTCATTATTCATGCAAGTATAGATGAAAGTAGGATTTTTTTCTCTTTATCTTATTTATTTAAATGATACGTAGTGTGTGAGTTAATCGACAAGCAAGTTTAATTCTGGAACTTCCTAGGCTGTGTGTTTTGTTGACATTAAATTTCTTCTTTTTCCCCTAAACTTTGTGAATCGCGAAACAAGAACAATAGATAATTATGAACCAATCATTAAGCCAAAGAAGTTAGAGATCTATAATTCCAGTGAAATCTAAACCACTAAAATAAAAACTAACTCAAAATTCATGTATCACTAACCGAGTTTTGGTTGCTTTTGCATATAAATTAACACCTCCCTTTGTAATTTCTTCTTTGTAGAATCCCATTGTTTTTCCACTTTCTTCGTTTGGAAATTAGCAAAATAGAAAGAAGAAAAAGGAAAAGCAATGGCTTTCCACATGAATAAAAAATTTCTTGTCATTTCCCTTTCTTTCTTCCTAATTTCATCTGAAGCAAATCCCATCTCTCATGTTTCCTATATCTCTTCAACCCCAGACGTGTCACCAGTTGCTTCACCAACAGAAACTGCGGATGTTGATGCCAGTAATTCTAACGGAGCGTCTGTGAAGAATCTTGTTGGTAGCCTGATGGTTTCCTCGATTTCTAAGACAGAGGATTTTGTTAACAAAGTAGTGGAAAAGCGGTTGGCTAAGATTGTGGACGCTTACAAAAAAGATTGTCTTGAGACATGCAGGGAGGTGTACGAAGATGCTGTTGATGCCATGAAAGAGACTTTGGAAGACGTAAATGAAGGAAACTATTACAAAGCCAATGTTGATGTGAGTACAATGTCCTCAAACATGGAGACATGCAAGGAATGTGTCAATGCTATTTATGGTCAGGATCCTGAGTTCACCAAGTTCGATAATTGGGCACATGCCATTATTGAAGATGCCTTAACTAGAATCACTAGCGTCAGCAGTTAAAAAACATTGTAATGCCTGCTCTTTTGCTATTTTGGATGAATTTTGATAACCTGACCAACGAGGCGATTTTGTCACATGTAATTTTAATTTGTACAATTAAAATTCTCTTTTATTTGGTCGTTTTCTCTTATCTCTACAAACGAATTCATATTATTGTCCCTGCCTGTTTCTCATTTGTTTCTTTATTTTCTTCTCTGATTATGTACATTTTTGTAAGCGTCCAAGCCTCCGCTGCTGTGAGCCAAAACTGTACTGGTTCTCATAATGTTGGCTATGAGCAGCTTGTACTCGTTCTCATAATATTAGCTTGGGGCAGCCTCCTCGTGATAGTATTGCGTCGCAAATAATTCATTGTGAGGATGTCGAAGCAATAAGAAGAGATGCCAGCGATGTACAGTTGGCACAACCAACTAAGTTAGTGGAACAACTAGTCAGTTAGGAAGTTAGTTTGTTATTGGCATTAGCTTAAGTTAGTAGCTCTTAGCTCTGTATAAATATACACGCTTGTACATCATTACTGTTACATTGAATAGTGAGAAATGAAAGCAGTTTCCTTCTTCCTTTCTCGTGCATCTGCTTCTGCTTCATTTTTACTCGTCAATTGAGTCTAAATCTAGGAATTCATCGTGGAATCAAAGCGAGCGTCTATGATCCACGCGTCATCAATCAATTTCTAGATTCTCTGTTGCTGTCTTCTTAAAATTTCTGGTTGTTTTGATTTCTTCGATTTAGGGTTAAATCTCTCTTCAATTCTTCATCAAAGCTCGATTTTCTGCTTAACAATGATGGCCGAGAATGGAGTTCGTTCTAGCACAACAGTCGGAAGTCACAACATTTTAGATGCAGCTTTGACTATAAATCAACATCACCCACTGTTTCTTCAACCGTGCGACACTCTAGGTAATTCTCTAATTTCAGTCAAATTAACTAAACCTGAAAACACTTTGTGGAGTAGTACAATGCGTGTTAGCTTGCTAGGTAAAAGTAAGCTAGGGTTTGTTGATGATAGATGTACTAAGGAGAAGTTTGATGTTTCTCTTCATGAACTGTGGGAAAAATGTAATGCTATACTACTACTCTTGAGGATCATGAATTCTGCGAGTGCTGAATTGTTGAGTGGTATATGGTATATGCCTCTAGTGCTCATAAGGAGTGGATGGATCTCAAGGAGAGCTTTGATAAGGTGAATGGATCTTGTGTGCTTTATCTTCATAAAGAAATTGCCACTTTGACTCAAGGAATATCATATGTGTCTACCTATTTCTCTAAACCGAAAGAACTGTGGTAGAGTTTGATGCTCTTATGTTGTGCCCTAAGTGTGGTTGTGAAGAATCGAAAAATATGTTGAGCATTTCCAGTACCAAAGGTTGCTATAGTTTCTAATGGGTTAAATGAATCCTACTCTCAATTTAGCAAGCAGATACTGAACATGCACCTATTCTCTTTATCAATAGAGCATACTCCATGATCATCTCTCAAGAGAGCAGAAGATCTATGTCCCAATTCACAGGTTTCTGAGGTTAGTGAAGGCAATGTATTGTTCAGTGTCAAAAGTATAGTTGTATCAAGCAATGACACAACCTTGTTCAGTGGTAAAGGGAGCAACAACTACTCAGGTGGTCAAATTTACACAGGAGGGAATAACTACTCAGGTGGTAATAACTACTCTGGTAATCAGTCTTATGCATGAGAAAATAATTACAAAACTAGGAAGAATAATTTGCAATGTAATTACTGCAACTTTAAGGGGCATACTAGAGAAACTTGCTACAAGCTCATTGGCTATCCTCTTGGCTTTAAATTCAAGAAAAAATTTGGTTCTGGGAATGCAGTCCACATTCTTAAGAGTCTCCAAATGATGCAAGAAATGATTTAGTGTCTACCACATCTAATTTTGCAGGGTCTTCTCATGTACAACATGGATCTGTGACTGGATAGGGGACTCAGAATGTGATGCTAAACATCCCTCAGCTCATTAAAGAACAATATCAACAGATAATGCGGTTGCTGGGAAAAGGAATTGATAGCAATATTTCAGCTACAACTATGGCAACATGCATGAACTCCAAATACAGAAGCTTTGGCTAAGTGGATAGTAAACTCAAGTGCCTCAAGTCATATGGTGAATAGTCTTAACTTGTTGATAGATCCTAAGTATTTTGCTTAAAACATGAATTGTAAAGTAAAATGCAATACAAGAAATGTAGCTCATATTAGTCATATAGGCTCATCCTATATATTATTCAGGGTCAAAAGATTAGCAATGTGTTGCATATACGAGAGTTCAAATACGACCTTCTGTTTGTCTCAAAGTTAACAAAGGAAACGAGATGGTTGTGATGTTCTTTCCTGAATTCTGCATTTTCAGGAACTCTCAAGTGAACATGTGAAGGGGATTGGTGAAGAAGATGATGGTTTATATGTATTTTACTCTGAAGATGCAAGTACAACTAATTTTCATGTTCCCATTGCAACTGTTGCAAATGCCAAGTGTTCAGTTCCTAGAACATTATCCACTGTAAATGCAATAAAGAAGGATAAAATAATGGATATAGCCATGTGGCATAGAAGGTTAGAAAATATGCCAGTAAAACACTTTGAAGAACATGAGTGCATTCCAAAATTGTAAATGTGGTAATGTTGGTGAAATTTATAATGTATGTCCTTTGGAAAAGCAAACAAGGTTACCATTTCCTTCGTATACTACTACTATTATTAACAATTGCTTTTATATGTATGGGGACCCTATAGGGTTCCTATTTATGACGGAAAAAGATATTTTCTGACTCTAGTAAATGATTGTTCTGGATACACTTGGATATTTCTTTTACCTACTAAAGCAGAAGTTGTTGTAGTTCTTAAACGCTCCCTTCCTTCTAATGATTCAAGATGTTTATTTTGCTTCTGTGAAATTCTTTGGATCAGATAATGGAAATGGATTCTTCAACTCTCAAATGACCGAGCTACTACAGACCATGGGCTTTATGATCTAAAGTTCATGTGTATATTCTCCACGATAAAATAAAGTGGCAGAGCGAAGGCACACATATATTCTGGAAGTTGCCAGATCACTGAGGTTCTAGACTGCAGTTCCTCTTAACTTCTAGAGTGAGTGTGTTAACATTGCTATGTATATTATTAATAGACTGCCCTCTTCAGTATTACAAGGCAAGTCTTCTTTTGAAGTTCTGATTGGCCATCCTCCTTCTTTGAATCACATGAGAGTGTTGAGGTGCCTAGGCTATGTTACTGACGTAAGAAAAGCTGATAAGTTTTCTCCAAGAGCTATTCCAACTATTTTTCTTGGTTATTCTATGACATAAAAAGGTTACAGAATGTATGGAATTCATTCTAAAGAGTCATGGTTAGTAGATATGGTCTTCAAAGAAGATGTGTTTCCTTTTAAGCATATCCACATTGCTGCCTCAGCTTTATTTCTGTGTTAGATCTGTCTAATACTCTTTTTTCAAGTTGTGGAGACACCATAGCTCAACCTCATGTGCTTCCAACCACCAATGCATATAAGGATCCTAATACTGATCCAACTAGTTTTGACATTGATGATACTCCTGCTCAAGGTTATTTGGATATTGCTTATACTGAAGATTCAATGGATATTGTTGTTACCTCAATGTCTGATGTTGAGCAACATGATCCTTCCTCTACAAGTAGGAAGTCTTGCAGAGTAAGTACGACACCTATTTGGATGAGAGATTATGTTACTCAAAGCAAACGAAAGGCACATAGTTGCTATCTTATTTCTAACTGTGTTAGTTATGTTAGTGTGTCTCACTCCCTTAGCAATACTCTTAACGGTTTATTCTGCTATAGTTAAAATAAAATCCTTTGCTAAGGCTATAAAGGATCCCAAGTGGATTGATGTAATAAAAAGTGAAATCATAGCTCTAGAGAAAAATAACACATGGAGCATAGTTGATATTCCTTCAGGGAATATGTCCACTGGTAGTAGAATGGATATTTAAGGTCAAATACACATCATCAGAAGAGGTGAAGAGATATAAGGTCAGGCTTGTAGCTAAAGGCTATAGCCAACAAAGAAGGGTTAAACTACACTAAGACTTTCTCTCCTGTGGCCAAAAATGATCACAGCAAGTTTTGTCTTGGCTATAACAACTTCTAAGCACTAGTACATTAGCTTAAGGGAGGGTCGAAGCAATAAGAAGAGATGCCAGCAATGTACATCTGGCACATTAATTGAATAACTATTCAGTTAAGAAGTTAATTTGTTATGAACGATAGCTTAAATTAGTAGCTCTTAGCTCTGTACAAATGTACACGCTTGTACAATATTACTGTTACATAGAATAGTGAGAAATTAAAGTAGTTTCCTTTTTCCTTTCTCATGCAGCTACTTCCACTTTATTTCTGCTCTTCTAGGAATTCATCATTAGGACCCCCCTGCAGCACATTTCTAGCATTTTTCAACTATATTTTAAGTCCAATACGTACTCACTCAACTGCTTGCTTCTAAATCAGTCGTCAACACTAACTCCTATATTCATACACATACCAACATAAGGCATCGAGATTATACTCTAATCATATTTATCGTTGAATAATATGACATGAAGCTTCAAAAACGTCAAAATTTTCTGGGATTTAATAGTTGGCTGCGAGAGAAAGAAATTTTCATATTGGTGAAAATACAAGTACAATTGAAAATAATAAAAAGTAAACATCTTTTCAAGCTGAGGCGTTGATATATCATCTCTTTAAGGAGATTCAAGTTCGTTGTGGTAGAATCTTTATCGATCCAACAATAACAATCTTGACTTGTCTCCTCTAAAATAAAACAACCGGTGATGTTGTATAACCCGGACTACTTTTGGACTAGTTATTTAGTCCAAAGCTCCACCAAAAAGAACATATTCCTTTAACAAAATAAAACTCTCTTTTGTAGTGAATACATTGGAGACTTACACTTTTTTCTTTTCTCAAAACTCTCTTCTTTTTTTTGCACAAATACACCCTTATTGTTTTTCACCCTAGAATACGTTTCACACGCTATCACAAGGTAAGAAATACTATTATTTGTAGGTGTACAAATTCTTTATCGGAGTAAATTGAAGGTAGTGGATATAACGACCCGACTGGTTATTTCGAGCATTGATATTTTGTTTGGTGGTT